GGTATTGCAATTGCAGAAATTACTGTGTACTGTGCTAGTAATTGATACAAAGATTATACTGTTTTATGTAAGTAAATTCTCAAAGATGGACAAAGTATGACAGAAAAACTAACAACGTAATCTATAGACCACTGATATTGGCAAAACAAAAATTAAAGACATACTTTTGAGCTCTGCGGGTTCTACATGCTCTTTTTTTTCAGAAATATCTTCTGTTACATTCAATAAATTTGAAGTCTCTTCAGGACTGGGGAGATTTTTATTTTTTAGTTCTACTATTGCTTCAAGTATCTTCTCACTGCTATCCAGCGTAGTAGGTAGAAAAATTGGAACTGGAATCTAGAATATAAACCATAATATTGTAACTTTGCTAAGTGCCATTATGAAATAAAATACAGAGAAGAACTGGATAAAGCCCTTGCAGCATTTAATAATGTTTAATAATATCAATGTTATTGCATACACCTCTGAACTGATGGGATGTGGGCCATGGTATTTTGATATGAAAAGTGCCTTCTGAATCTCAGCCTACTTCAGGGGTGTCAAACTCCTGAATGCGGTTGCCCTTGGGGGGCCGGGTGGGTGGGGCCAGGGTGGGTGCGGCCTACTGGGTGGGCATGGATGGAATGGGTGTGGCCTATTGGGTGGGCATGTGAGAACGCCCCTCTGCCTGCCAAAACCCCTCCCCCAGAGCCCATCAAGCCGGATATGTGAAGTAGGTGAGGGCCATTTGCTGGCCACTTCCAGGCGATGGTGCATTTCTTCATTCCTCACAAAGGGTGACACCTCCCCAGCATGCACCCAGGGGGCAGGGCCGACGTGGTAGGGGCTGGTTCCTCGCTGTGGAGCTAAGACTGAATGCATTTCAGCATAGATAGCCACCACAAAATTGTACATTGACTCCCGGCCGGCCTGGGCCAGGGCCAAGGCAACGGGGGCCGTTCCCTCTCTGTTTCCAGGATGGCTTCACGGGCCACATGAAACCACTTCGCGGGCCGCATCCGGCCCCTGGGCCTTGTGTTTTACATGTCTGGCCTACTTACAATAGCATAAACATGCATGGGTTAAAACATTAGTTGTGCTTGTGGCATACTGGCCCTAATCAGTACCATCTAAATAAGCAGGGAATGCTACCTCTGGCATGACATTTAGGCTGATTGCTTAGACTATATCTTCCCTGAATTTATAAAAAATAGAATGAAAGTATTGTGAAAGCCTCAATTAACCAAAGTTCTGATTGACATTTAAGCTATAGACAGATCTATTTATGATTTAGAATGAGAAGTAGAAGAGAAATAATGATAATATATTAACAAATGAAATGAATGGAAGAAAAATAGATCTGTTGTGAGCCTATGAAACTAACAGAAAAGGGATTGATATAGTGCATATCTGTACTAATAGTCTAAGTGGTGGTGTGGTTGATGAGGAGTGCAGATAAGTGAAGATGCAGGCTTAACTATGAATTAAAGGGCTAACATGTATATCAAAAAATATGAACTGATGTCATCTAGCTTGTTGCAGGCATATATAGCAGTAGCAATAGCACTTAGATGTATATACCGCTTCATAGTGCTTTCAGCACTCTCTGAGTGGTTTACAAATGTCAGCTTATTGCCCCCAACAATCTGGGTCCTCATTTTACCAAACTCAGAAATCAACCTTGAGCTGAGTCTTTCTTTCCCACTATGCATTAGATCATAATATGCAGCTAACACTAATGGACAGGTTCTTATTTTCATATAAGGCCGTGATGGCACAGTGGTTGGAATGCAGTATTGCAGTCAGAGTTAGCCTACAATACTGCATTTTAACCACTGCGCCACCACAGCTCTTATATGAAAATAGGAATCTGTCCATTAGTGCTAGTTGCATATTATGGTCTAATGCATAGTGGTAAAGGAAGAATCAGATATGAACTTTTGGGGAAAAGCCATAAAGGGTATAAGAATTTTGAATATTGTTTAAGAACACAAGGGTGGATGGCATAACTGAAGACATATTAAATATAAGTAAATATTAAAATACTGGATGTATTTTAGAGAAAATAAATTGGTTTAAAGTGAAAATCCTAATTCTGGTATACAATTTGTCTTGTTTTTTAAACCGATGTTCTTGTTTGGAATATAAATAGCAAGATATTTACAGGAGATAAAAGTTCCATGTTACATTTTTTTTCTTTTTAATTAATTTTCCCCCTTTAGATCACATACAACAGAAAGATGCTTAGAGTGAGGCTTTAATTGGTCCTCTCCATATTTTACAAGTCTTTTACCAACAGCCTATTTAGAAGAAGTTGTTGCATCAAGTTTATAATGACTTGACAATAAACATCTTCAGCTGACCTAGAGTGCAAACATCTAAATTTCTTACAAAGCTTTAGCCCTGATCTCTTGGACTTGCCTGCTGTCCTAGTACCTATTTTGTTTTACCAGATTTTACCTTCTGTAGCCTAGCTCTTTCCCCCTTTGTCTGCTCTATGTTGGAGAATAGACCTGAAGCCAAGATGAATCACACTGGGATAGGATTAATTCCTCCCAAGCATTTCCTCATGCAAGGAAGCAAGAAATGCTGGTATGGTGAATTCTGGTAGAATCTATCTTCAAGAGAGAGAAAAATGTAATTCAAATGTAGACTGAAACCTAGCTTACTGGAACAGGAACCGTTGTAGGAACTGGAACATTTTGACTATACATATGCATAGGAGCAGGTACATATACTGGTACAGGAACAGGCACAGGGATGTATTCTTTTTTCCAGTCATCATCTACAATGAAAGACAATGTGTAATGTCACTTGCCACCACTACATACATCCCATAAAGTGACCCAACCATAATTGTATACTCTGACAAAACGCCATACATGAGAACAGTTCCTTCTATTATATAAATACCTGTCTGACAAGATTTTGTTTGCATGTGGGGTTTACAGAAGGTAGCCTTTGTCATCGTTAGCGGTTTGCAGAGAACTGCTTTGTTCTTCATTTCTTTATTTGGTGTAGGGGAAGGAGGTGGGGCTGATCCCTGTAGATTTAAAAAAAATGTTAAATTTTAAAAAATGTAAATGATAAAATAAAGTACATTTCAAACTTCTTTTTCAGAGGCAGATTCATCCGAGAAAAAGAATCCATAAAGGAAAGGAGAAAACCTATCTAAATCCTTAGCTAACTCTTCAAAAATTAAATACCTTAATTTATCCTCTTCATGGAGAATGATAGTTTTGGGTTCTAATCAAATTAGCTATTTAACATTATTACACAATGTATTCATTAGCATAAATAGTTTTGTTACTACTTGCAACTTTATATTTGTAGGTTATCTCAACAATTACACATTTATGATAATTATCACTTAGAGCCATATAATGTACCAGTTTACAATATTGAAAATACCCATGAAGAAATAACCTGTCGTGTCTTGCCATACTTTTTAAATGTAAAGGACATGCATCCTAACTGATAATAACGAATTGTATCGGTTAAGACAGAAAACAGTATACAATTCTCTATAGGCTGTGAGGGATTTTATTATCTTAGCTATGAATTTGAATACTTTATGATTTACTTACTGTGTTTTTTGTTCGGGGAGTTTGGCAACTTTGATCTACAAACAGAAGACAACAACCTTAGCATAATGTGTTACTTACAATAATCTGTAGTTGACAAATGCCACAATACTTTATCCTAGTCATACTAGTTTTACTAGATTAACTAGTAAAAGATTAAGCAGTTAGCTGTTTTCAAAACAATTAGCTTTCTAAGTGTGGGGAAAGTAGCATGCTCACCTTTCTTTTGGAAGAAAAATTGTGTAGCTAGATTGTTAATTATACTAACCAATTTCATTTGATGTGTAAGAGCCTAGACCTCCAGTAATCCTATCTCCTAGGTCAGGGGTCTGCAACCTTACCCAGGAGCCGCAAAACTTGCATGCGCAAGCGCGAGGGAGGAGGAGCTTAATTGAAGAGTTTAATTAAAAAGAAATAGAGGCTGCTGTGCATGAATTTTCTCTCTCTCTCTCTCTCTTTCCTCTCCCTCTCCCTCTCTCCTCTCCCTCTTTCTTTTCTCCCTCTCTTTCTCTCTCTCTTTCCTCTCCCCTTTTTCTCTCCCTCTTTTTCTCTCTCCCTTTCTCCTTTTCTCTCCCTCTCTTTTTCTCTCTCCTTGTCTCTTCCTCTTTTCTCTCTCCCTTTCTTTTTCTCTCTCCCTTTCTTTCTCTCCCTTTTTCTCTCTCCCTTTCCTCTCCCCTCTCCCTCTCTTTCCTCTCCCTCTCTCTTTCCTCTCCCTCTCTCTCCCTCCCTCTCTCTCTTTCTCTCCCTCTCTCCGATCTTCTGCTCACCTGGCAAGCTGGCTTCAAGCTATTCTCCAACAGGCTGGCTTTCTCCTGCCCTTCCTGCTTCCTGCAGAGACGTAGCCAAGGCAGGAGCCCCGCCCAATAAGCTTGTCAGCTCGTCGGAAAATAGGGTGAGGCCACTCTCTTTTTTTTTACACAAACACACACACACACACAGAGAGAGAGAGAGAGAGAGAGAGAGAGAGAGAGAGAGAGAGAGAGAGAGAGAGAGAGAGAGGCGCAAGCGCCCCTCTGTCTCTGTCTCTGTAAATGGCAGAGGAGGCTGGGAGCCACAGGAGAAGGCTCAAAGAGCCACATGTGGCTCCAGAGCCACAGGTTGCCGACCTGTGTCCTAGGTTGAAGTAAAATATGCCCTGTTATCTGATATTAGAAAAGAGAAACTTATATGACTTGCCATTTTTGAAGTATTAAAAAAAATTAATGTACACAGTTGTTGGTAAAGAAACATACCATAATGTAAGTTTTCTGGCCCTTTTTGTGTTGCCATATTTGGTTCATTTTGTTGACAGTAGAAACGCAGAAGGCAATGCTGATCACAAAAGTGCTTCATTTCCCCTCTCCACTGTACTTTCTCTTTAAGAGTTCCTTGAATTTTACAGCAATCACACCTTGCAGCCTTAAACAAAATAATACTGTTAGCTAAAATGATTTGGAAAAAGAATTACTGCTACATAAATGCTTTAATGTAATATTGGTTTATGAAGTTCTCTAAGATTGAGTAATGCCTTGTGCTTTCTTAGAAGACAGAAAATCTTCTGAGATTTGAGGCTTCTGGTAGTATATCCTTACCTATGAAAATCCTCTTTAATTCTGTAATATAGACAAATATAAGCAACAAAATAAGAACAAATTCAAAAGGGACATTAACCTCTGATACTCTTCTGAACAAAATTAAGTATACAAGAAAGGCTATTGTGTTTTCATTGATTGACAAGGAAAGCATTGGTAATGCTTGTAGAATAAAGCCTGTATGTTGTTATTGGGCTAAGAAATATCTTGAGGATCCAAATGGGTGAGAACATTTTCCCTTCTCTGAAACAGCTTACTCTCCAAAGCATGTATCACCCCCACACTTCTGACCTCCCAGAAGCTGGTAAAAACATTATTCCTAAGAATAATTGAAGCAGCTTTCTCAAGAATAATGGGACATGTTGCCATTTGAGAAGCACAGACATCTTATTCAGAGAGGAAGTGTCTCTGCATTGCTTTCTTCTCATTAGCAACTCAAAGATTGGTATCCATTTAAATTGAAAGTGGACAAGCACAGTAAATATGCAGTCATGACCAGAAAAGACAGAGATGCAATACAGGCTAGGAGACCTTTAAAAAAAGCAACATCTGGCACAGAACAGATGGCATGGTCAACACTAGGACAAATCATTGGATTAAAAAGAATGGAGCAAAGAAATTATTTCATTATTAATCTCTTAAGAAATGCAACGAGACAACACTGAGGTCTTTAAATCTAACTTTGATATTGGGATGCTTCTTTAGCTTAAAATCTGAGTCCATTTTAATACTAGAAAGTACAGTAAGGAAAGGGAAAAGTCAGAGAACAGTGTAGAGGATTATCTCCCATTTTAACGGAAATAACTGTCCTTTTTTTCTAAACGCTAATCAATATTATTAATATTTTGCCTTCAATCAATTAATCAATCAATTACAGGGGAAATGGCCACTTTAGGAATAGGCATATACACAATGAAAAGAATTAGACAAGGAAAGATATCCTCGACTAATGACCACAATTGAGCCCAAAATTTCCATTCCTAAGCAAAACAGTTGTTAAGTGAGCTACGCCCCATTTCACAATCTTTTTTGCCAGAGTTGTTAAGCAAGTCACTGCAGTTGTTAAGTGAATTACACAGTTGCTACGCAAATCTGGCTTTGTTGGAAACCAGCTGGGAAAGTTACAAATGGTGATCACATGACCCAGGACACTGCAACTGTCATAAATGCATGCCATTTACACACACACACACACACACACACACAATATTATAGAAGAAATCACAAATAATTTAGATATGTACTTAGCAGCCATTATAAAAGAAGGTTGTTAAATATTGCAATACCTTATAGTACCAGTCTTGAAATTTTCTGCAACACTCTTCACTACAGAAATCTCTTACTACTCCATCAAGTTCCTTTGATGCGCCCTTTTTACAGAGTTGAGAACAATAATTGCAAGTAACACAGCGTAATCCTAACCTTCTTGCAAAATCTTGTTTATATAGCAGCTTGCAACCTGGAAAAAAGGAAGCAGCATAGTTGATTTGCCAAAACTATGTGCCACTGCAAATCTGTTTCGTAGTAATTTTTGCATTTTGTTACATAACTTTTACAAGGTTGTTTAGCAAAGTGATACCATTTTTGAGAAAGAATTTTAGCCACTCTCCTACTCAATAAGTATCAACCTTTTTGGTTTTTTATATATGGTTTACACATTCAACTTTGAAGTTCTTGTTATCTTTAGATTCAATTACAGGTAGTGCTTGAATTACAACCGGTTGCTTAGTGACCATATGAAGTTACAACAGACCTCACTGGGACTACGTACTACTTGAATTCAAAGTTCCAATGGTCATTTGAGGTGTCCCCGGTCACTATTGTGTTTTATGATAATTTTGCTGAAAACTGGCGTTTACTTCAGTTTTCGGCAAAACTACCCCATATTGAACCATTGGTTCACTTAATGGTGATTGCATTCACTTAACAACTGCTGCAAAAAGATATGATAAATTCAGTCAGCCACAAGCCTTCCCCTTATAGTCATTACTCAAGGACTTTCTGTTCTGTACTTATATACTCACTTGTATCCAGGTAAAAAGTAAAAAGTGTGCTGTGGATATTTTCAGTTATATATTTATTTTGAACCCCTATAAAAAGCTATTTGGCTCTAAATCAGGGGTGTCAAACTCAATTTCATTGAGGGCCGTATCAGCATTGCGGTTGCCCTCAGGGGGCCGGGTGGGTGTGGCCAGGGTGGGTGCAGCCTACTTGGTGGGTGTGGATGGAGTGGGTGTGGCCTACTGGGTGGGCGTGGCCAGTTCGACATCATTCATGTCAAGGGTGCCTGTGGGGGCATGGGCAGGAATGGGATAGATCTGAGGATCTCTGGCAGAAGGGGATGGGACCAGGGCAAGTGCCAAGGCATGGTCCACTGGAAGAGCCTCACTGTTCCTCTCAGGCCATGCAGGGGGGGGGCTTATGGAGCCAGGGCCAAGGCAGAGGGGGCCGTTCCCTCATTGTTTCCAGGATGGCTTTGCGGGCCACATGAAACCATTTCGCGGGCCGCATCCAGCCCCCGGGCCTTGTGTTTGACATGTCTGCTCTAAATGAACACCAATGGAAACAAAGTCTAGCACTGTTACAAGAAACAAAATATTGTAGTATTTTTCATGTACAAATAGTTCTACTGTTTCCAGTGAGATTGATGTCAGTCTTTTTTTTTTTTACTCAATCTACTGATGATATAGCAAAAGAGGAAAAACACCCACCCAAATGGAATTGGGAAGGTATTCAAGATTGTTTCATTTTATAAGCAGTTACAGTCTTAAATCAGGATTTTCTAAGTATACAATTACCCTGGTTTGAAATAAGAACTCAAGGAAATCTCATTTCTACCCATTGCATTGTAATGCAGGAACATAAGGTGATAAAATAGTCTCAGAGCAGTGTAGAATATATGAACTATTAAATCACTATATGTAGCCCCAGATCCAACAGAAAACAGAAATAATGGGCAGCAACACGAGGTTGCTGCAAATTATGTACAAAATCTGATGTTTTATGAATGCTGCAGGGTGCGGGCAGAGGGCGTGGCCGCCATGACGCTGCTGGGCCACCTGGGCGATCTGCTGTGGAGGTGGTGGGTGGCCCTGCGGGCAGGAGACGCAGGGACGGGACAGGGGTGAGGCGGTTTTTGGGCACTCAGTCTCTAAAAGGTTCGCCATCACTGCTCTAGGTGATTATAATTGTTTATAAACAATGACTTTGTAAACTGTCTAAAGCTACTTTTCCTGTCCCACCATGGCCCTGTGCATGTGAGTATAGGGCATCTCAAGTATGCTTCTGTTGCCTATAACAGTGACTGCATTAAAAATGTATATGCAAAATAAATACAGATTAGGACAGTGATGGCGAACCTTTTAGAAACCGAGTGCCCAAACTGCAACCCAAAACCCATTTATGTATCGCCGGGTGCCGGGTGGGTGTGGCCCACTCAGCGGGCGCAGCTACAGTGGTGTGGCAGACTGGGTGAGCGTGGCCATTGGATGTGTGTGGCTGCAGTAGTCATGGCAGACTGGGTGGGCATGGCCTGGGTGGGCGTGGCCACCTCGATATTGCTTATGGGGAGGGACACCTGTGGGAGCCAGGCAGGGTTGGGGGAGATCCAGGGGGTCTCTGTGGGTGGGATGGTGGGCTCCCCAATGGCCCCTCCAGGCCAGTGATGGCGAACTTTTAGAGACCATGTGTGCTGGGGCGATGGTGCGTGCCCAAGAGAGGGCTCCGCGTGCCACCTCTGGTACGCGTGCCATAGGTTCGCCACCACTGGATTAGGGAGTCACTTCATTATGAGCATATAGAACATAGAATCACGGGGCTGGAAAGAACCTCAGAGGTCTTGTAGTCCAATTCCCTGCTCAAAGCAGAAAACCTTATACCAGGGGTCCTCAACCTCCGGACCATGGACTGCGGCATGTCAGCAACCGGGCTGCACAAATAAGCAAAGCCCCATCCGCGGGACGCAGGCAGCACACAAAACCACGCCCCCTCCGGTCTGTGGAAAAACCTCTCTCCATGTAACCAGTCCCTGGTGCCCAAAAGGTTGGGGACCTCTGCCTTATACCATCCCAGTCAAATAATTATCCAATCTATTTTTGAAAACCTCCAGTGATGAAGCACCCACAGCTCCAGGAGGCAAGCTATTCCACTGATTAATTGTTCTCACTGTCAGAAAATTTCTCCTTACTTCTAGACTGGATCTCTTTTACAAGCTTTCACCCATTGCTTCTTGTCCTGTCCTCTAGTGTTTTGGAGAATAAGTCAACCCCTCTTCTCTGTGACAGCATGTCAAATATTGGAAGACAGTTATCATGTCCCCCCTCCCCCCAATCTTTCTCTTTATTAGCAATAGCACTTATACTTATATATCACTACACAATATTTTACAGCCCTCTCTTAACCATTTATCATACAATTCCTCTTTGTTGCTCTACTCTGCATACTTTCTAGGATCTCAGCATCTTTTTAGTATAACGGTGACCCAGAAATGTACATAGTATTCCAGTGTGGCTTCATTAGTACATATGAGGAAGCAGCTGAGAATACTAACTTCAATTTATAGTAAAATAAATGAAATTTCATCCCTTACACATGACCTGACTCGACACTTACTTGCTAATATTGCTGGATCCTTGTGGTTATGGAATAGGTTAAGACAATCTGAGACAGTTTCTATTTTAAATAATCTGTTTTGTCATTATTAATTTTTGGTTTTACTTTATACTGGGTTTTCTGTTTTTATTATTGTATACTGCCACTGAGGTGCATGATTCACCAATATAGAAGTTTAATAAATAATTCTGCACAACTCATTTTTTGTTTCCTTATTATACTTCTACATGACTATACTGGCAATCATATATTCAACATACCTTCACTACAGAATGGTCTCTTGATACCAGAAAATTTTACCGTTTCATGCAAAGTCTTCTCCTCTTGACAGTATTCACAGTATGTTACTATACAGTGTAGCTTCTTGTAGTCATCAGAACAAATTCTACTGCAAAACTGGTACACTTTGTTCTAGTTAAAGAAACAGAAAAGCCACAGTAGACAATCTGGTAAGTAACAAGGCTTCAAATGTAATGCAGATTTTGCATAAATAAATAGCAAAATTATAGAGAATAAGGAAGATGACCTGCACAAGACTGTTATCACAATCTTGTGGTAAGATTTATATCAGCCCTACCAAGTAGGAATCAACTCCATAGAAAGACTATGACTTTTTTTATTGAGAGTTGCTATAACAAGAGAACTTCGCAAGTCTGATTGTGCTGTTTCCCTTCTCTTTGTGAACTAGGGAGGTGCTTTTCTGAGCTGCTTCTGCATACTTTTTTGCTTGTTTTTCTCTTCATTGCTTTGATAATCGATCTCACTTATCTTCATCACGTTTGTCTTCCTTACTCTCAACAAAAATATTTCATTTTAACTAAAGAAAAGAATTAGTCATTTACCCATAATTGTTACATTTTGACAGATCATTTGTGAATTCACACCAATAGACTCGGTACCTATGTTGAATAAGTTCAAACCTTACAGAGCTTAAGAACTTTGGTGGGAACCTGCTGCTCAACCTATAATAAATGTTCCTGGTTGTAGCCTGTGTTCAGATTCCTGAGTCTGGCAACCAAGTGCAAAACAAATCAAAATAAAGCTGCAGGACAAGGGAGGAAAGATGGAGAATGAGAAGAAAAAAAATATGGTTACCAGTGAATAATCAGTATTTCTTCATTATGATGTCTGTAATTCACAAAAGGAGGGAATAGTAATAGATGGGAACTTTGGGGCAGCAATGGATAATAGAATCATTCTATTGAAGGCAGCTCTTCATGCTGTGCTTAAAGATCACATTGCTGATGCCAAATAAGTATTTTTGGCCACACTTAAATTTTCTAAGTGCCTTCTTCAGTTAAAAAAAAATAATAGGAAAAAAGATCTGGATGCAAAGAATCAACTCACAGAAACCAGATTTTCCTATATTCTTGAAGAAATGCCAGCCAAAAAAAAGCCATTTTGTATGCAGCCATTTGAACTGAAAAGTAATTATTGACTTGCATGAGAAAGCCACAATATTGCAAGAAACAAAGAAAAAAATCCACATAACTAGTGGAGGTAATGAAAATAGAAAAGGAATATTAAATCCATTCAATATACTAACAAGTGATGCAAGAAAACTGAATTACTCTGATGAGGACAATAGTCTAAGATAGAACAAGCTAAACCCATAGTGAGAAGACAAAGTCCAATCCTTTGTCTTCAGAAAAAAAAATTGCAGATGTAGCACATCAAATTATTTGCTCTGACATCCCAAATGTCATCTGCAAAAAAGTTAATTTCTCAAAATTAACACACAGCTGACAAATGCTTGAAATGAATTGTCTGCAGTTAAACTAAAGCAGACCAATGGACCCACTGGGAGATGCTGATCACATGCTGGATTGGCACTCAGTGTCAGTCTTATTCTCAGCAGTTTGATGTAAAATCTCTTCAATCTGGGAAAGAGGAAGAGGCAAGACCAGTGGAAAGCAGAGAAGTCTAAAATGATTCCTACACCTTGTCTATCATGCTGAACAAACCATTCCATCAAATGAAATGGTTTTGATCTTGCCTTCATTCTATCAGACCAGAGCATCAAGCCATTAAGAGAGATGGTCAGTGCTTTAAGCCACAGGCATTGCAGTGTGCCTAATTATATTGATTTCCCCCCCCTGGCTTACAGTATATTAGTGGCTTCTGTGCCAAAAGTCTTTACTAACAACCTACTATTATCTGGCAAATGGGTGAAGAAAAACATCTTTTCCCAAAGGAAATAAAGATATTTGTGCAAACTTGTTAATTAAAGGTCCTCAAAGAAAGGATTCTTCTATTATTTATTCACTAAGTCAAATGCTGCCTACACTGACACATAGACTAAACATGATTTTTGTGTCTGAACTGAAAGGGGATCCTGGAACAGGAGAGACAATTGTTTGTCATCCAGTACAAATTCTCAACATGGTACATGGAACTACTGTAGGAACTGCATAAGAGCACCTGAGTCCAAAGACAAGTGCCCTGACACATCTATACATACCACTGCCAAGTTACAATCAATCTTGCAAATTACATTAAGACATTGGACACTGTTTCATTTCATTTCATTTATTTCATTTATACCCCGCCCTTCTCCCGGAGGACTCAGGGCGGCTTACAACCAGTTTAAAACAATCCCACATAAATACCAAATACAAATCTAAAATAATTAAGAATAAATATTTGAATTGGCCGCTCTATTAAAATTTTGTTAAAACCAATTAAAATACCCCCTAGGCCAGTCCTGCCTGCTGAAACAGCCAAGTCTTGAGGGCGCGGCGGAAGGAGGGGAGATCCGGAATCACCCGGATCTCTGGGGG